AGAACAATGTCTTTCAAAGAGCTTATTAGTGACTCATGAAAGCATTTAGCCTGTTGTGATCAGCACTTAAAAGAAAGACAGAGAGAAGGAAATGAAAGAGGAGATAGAGAGGAGAATCAAAGCAAATCAAGAGGTGAGTACACGTTGCACACAGAAAGGATCCATAATGCTTCACGGACGTGTGGTTTCCAAGGTCACCATAGCAGAAGAGGAGAAAAGGAGGCCACACACTAGCTCTTTATTGCCCCAACCTGAAAGTGATGCACCCACAGGCCATTGGCCAGAACTAGTCATGTGGTTTCAGCCTCACTGCAAGGAGAGCTGGGAAATAGAGGCACTCATGGACATTTGGTGAATGCTAACGTCTCTTCCACAGCCTGCGTGCTGTTTCACCCCCTTGAACTAGAACGGAGGTTCCATGAAAGTCTGGGCTTTGTCTGTGAGGCCTGCTGTGGGATCATTAGCCAGGAAAGTAGTGCCTGGCACAGTCTGCCCTCATTATATGTTTAGTGAATGAATAAGTGTATATTTCCCATTAATTGAGCTAGATGTGGAGATTACAAAATCAAATCTGATGTGGTTCCTGTTTTCAATGAGCTCTCAGGATTCTTCTCTCTTTCCCTCATGTTTTAGGGGAAAACTGGTCTCTCTCCTCTTCAAAAGCTCCACTTGCCACCTGTGCCTCCCCTGAGAATGTTCTCTGGCCCTGCCTCCATCAACTGTCACTGTCTCCCTGACGACCCCTCTTCCTCTCCACTGACAGGTTACCTCCTCTTGCTCTCCAAGCAGCCTCACACCTTCTCAAACCTGAAATAACCTCTCAGCATTGCTTCCCCTTCATCACTTTGCAACTCCCAATCACCCTCAACATACCATACCCAGGCTCCTGGCCTCATCACTCTGTACTTGATTAAAAATGCTTCCTCAAAGCTACCGGTGACTTCCTAATTTTTTAAACAGCTTCACTGAGCCTTATGTTTCATATACCATACACTTCACTAATGTGAAGTTCACAATTCGATGGTCTCTAGCATGTTTCTATCACCACAAAAAGGAACCCCACACCCTTTAGCTTTCACTCCCCATACTCCCATCCTCTTCCCCTGGCCCTAAACAACCGCTAATCCACTTCCTTGGATTTGAATGGAATCATACCCTGTATGGCCTTTTGTGACTGCCTTCATTCACTTAGCATAATGTTTTCAGAGTCCGTCCATGCTGTGGCATGTGTCAGCACTTCATTCCTTTTCATGGCTGAATAATATTCCACTGTGTGGAAAGACCACAGTTTGTTTATCCATTCTTCCACTGATGGACATTTGGATTGTTACACTTTTGGACTGTAATGAATAGTGCTGTTATGAACATTCATGTATACGTTTTTTGTGAACACATGTTTTCAATTCTCTTGGGTACATACCCAGGAGTGGAATTGCTGGGTCATATGGTAACAGTTTAATCATTTGAGCAACTGCCAGACTTTTCTAAAGTGGCTGCACCACTTTACATTCTTCTCATCCATGTGTGGAGGGTCTGATTTCGCTCCTTTTCTTTTTTGAGACGGAGTCTCGCTCTGTGGCCCAGGCTGGAGTGCGGTGGCACGATCTTGGCTCACTGCAAGCTCCGCCTCCCAGGTTCACGCCATTCTGCTGTCTCAGCCTCCCGAGTAGCTGGGACTACAGGCGCCGCCACCTCGCCCGGCTAATTTTTTTGTGTATTTTTAGTAGAGACGGGGTTTCACTGTGTTAGCCAGGATAGTCTCCATCTCCCGACCTCATGATCCGCTCGCCTCGGCCTCCCAAAGTGGTGGGATTACAGGCGTGAGCCACCGCGCCCAGCCTAATTTCACTACATTTTGCCAGTGCTTGATATTATCTAATTTTCATTCTAACCGTTCTAGTAGGGGAGGGAAAATTGTAGCTCATTGTGGTTTAAATTTGCATTTCCCTGATAACTAGGGACTTTCTAAATTTTTTTTTTTTTAAGTAGAGATGGCATCTCACTCTGTCACCCAGACTGGAGTGCAGTGGCACAGTAACAGCTCACTGCAGCCTCGACCTCCTGAGCTCAAGTGATCCTTCCATTTCAGCCTCCTGAGTAGCTGGGACTACAGGCATGCACACCCATACTGAGCTAATGGACTTCCTAATTTTTTAAATCACTCTCTTCTTATTTCCTAGCCAACATGTTCTTTCTTTAGCTTTTCACACCACTCTTGCTGCAATTCAGTTCCCTCCCTTATACAGCTCCTGAGGTCTGCTCCTCTCCAGCATTCCCTTCCTGACTTTCTGGCCTCCTTCACGGGCTCTTATTCCCACCCCACAAGTTCTGTTGCTCCCAGGGCTTCGTCCTCAGCCCTGTTCTTGCTCTACTGTGCCCCTGCTAACCCTGTTCAACCCTGTGCCTCTCACCAGCACCCACATGGAAGACTCTTGAATGTATATACTTCCCAGGTCTCAGTCCCCGTTCCCCTTCACATGATCCTTAATAGAAACCCAATGAAAGGTTCAATCCCATATCAATAAAGTGTCTATGACTAAGATGCCCAGAAAATATTGTATACTATAATTAGTGATAATGATTCCTTCTTTCAAGTATCAGTTAAAAATAAGTAGATGGGCCAGGCACGGTGGCTCATGCCTGAAATCCCAGCACTTTGGGAGGCCAAGGCAGGAGGATCACTTGAGGTCAGCAGTTCGAGACCAGCCTGACCAACATGGTGAAACGTCGTCTCTACTAAAAATACAAAAATTAGCTGGGCATGGTGGCAGGTGCCTATAATCCCAGTTACTGGGGAGGCTGAGGCAGAAGAATCGCTTGAACCCAGGAGGCAGAGGGTGCAGTGAGCTGAGACCATTGCACTCCAGCTGGGTGACAAGAGCAAAAACTCCATCTCAATAAATAAATAAATTAATTAATTAAATAAGAAATAAGTAGATGGCTTGAGCCTAGAATCCCAGGTACCTGGGAGACTGGAGCGAGAGGGTTGCTTGAGGACAGAAGTTCAAGATCAGCTTGGTCAACATAGTGAGACCCTGTCTCTACGAAAACTTTTTTTAAAAAAATTAGCCCAGCATGGTGGCACATACCTGTAGTCTCAGCTACACAGGAGGCTGAGGCAGGAGGATTGCTTGAGCCCAGGAATTTGAGACTGTAATGAGCTGTGATCACGCCAATACACTCCACCCTGGGAGACAGAGTGAGATCCCATCTCTGAAAAACATTAAAAGGTGGATGGACACTAGTAAATATTGAAAGAAATTCCCAGGGAAAAAGCATTGTATTACAGCATATTGTTTTCTCAGGTTCTTTATGGTATAAGGAGGCAATTCATATTCTAGGCCAGGGGCGAGTAAATTCATGCTTAAAGAGCCAGACACTAAATATTTTAGGCTTTGCTGGCCACAAAGTCTCTATCATAACTAATCAATTCCACTTTTGTAATACAAAAGCAACAGACCATGTACAAATGAATATGCATGACTATATATTTTTATCTTTTTTACTTTGTACAAATTTTCAATATAGGTAGGGTTGCCCAGGCTGGTCTCAAACTCCTGGGCCCAAGTAATCCTTCCACTTTGGCCTCCCAAAGTGCTGGGATTACAGATGTGAGCCACTGTGCCCAGCCATCATGACTATATTCTAATAAAACTTTAAAAACATCTTGCCAGCCACTAGGCAGCACGTTATGGATCCCTGATGTAGCCATCGCACCTGTGCTATACCCATGGGAGGAGGGCAAAGAACAGAAATGTACACCCTCTCCATTTAGGAACATTTCTACTTACTTGTTATTCCCTGGAACTAGTTACAAGGCCTTACCAATCTGCAAGAGTCAGAAACATACAATCTTTAGGCTAAGTGACTAGCAGCAGCTAACTATTGGGTAGGAGAACTACTGCTAAGGAAGAAGGGGAGATTAGACATTAGGACGTTAGAAGTCTCCATACCAGTTAGCTAATTTTACAAGAGTGTGTATAACACCCCCAAACTCAGTTGCCCACAGCAAGCCTTTACTTCTCACTCACGCATCTGCAGTCTGGCTGCGTTTGGCTGATCTCGGAGAGGCCCAGCTTGGTTTGAGTCCAAGCTGGGGTTTGGGTCTACACTGCCTTCATGAGTCTCTCCTCCTCCCTGGACCAGTATGTATCCAAGGCATATTCTGGTTGAAGTGAAAGGCAGGAGCGTAAGAGGGGCAAGGGAAACACGCAGAACACATTAAGGCTTAGGCAGCGGCCCATCGTCACTCCTACCTACATTTAACTGGCCAAGTGACATGGCTGAGGCCTATACCAACAGAGCAGGGCATTATCCTCTTCCCACAGATGTTGTCAGAGAAGGAGTGAATATTTGGTGAACAATAATGTCATCCACCATACTCTTCCTCAACTAACAAAGGTGATTAAACATACTTACATCCACAGGATAACACTGGTGTTTTCCTGAACCCCTACGGTGTGCATGCACACAACATAAGCGCACATGCACACACACACACACACACAAACAATAACAGAAAGCAGAAGATGACATATTCTAAAATTTAAGAATATTAGATTACCATCACAACACTCCTCTGTAGCTCCTGAATAACTAGTAATACTTTTCCTAGATTCATTTTACATTGAAATAAAGTGAGAATAGGTACCTTTATTAAATAATCAAAGCTGCTTATGTTGATTTAGTTTCTTTTTTTTTCTTTTTTTTTTTTTGAGATGGAGTTTCACTCTTGTTGCCCAAGCTGGAGTGCAGTGGCATAATCTCAGCTCACTGCAACCTCTGCCTCCAGGGTTCAAATGATTCTCCTGCCTCAGCCTCCCGAGTAGCTGGGATTACAGGCATACGCTACCACACCTGACTAATTTTGTATTTTCAATAGAGACGGGGTTTCTCCATTTTGGTCACACTGGTCTCGAACTCCCGACGTTAGGCGATGCGCCCACCTCGGCCTCCCAAAGCGCTGGGATTACAGGCATGAGCCATCACGCCCAGCCCGATTTAGTTTCTTTTCTTAAGTCTCTCCAGTCACTTTTCCCTAGGCTTGAGGATTGGCATAGCAGGACGGAAGTTACGAGAACAACGCAGGCCCTGAAGAGAGAGCTCCTCGCCTTCAAGCCGTGGGGCATGTAAGGACATGGAGACGAGGACCAGAGGCAACAGAATTCTTGGCTGAATTTCTTAAGTAAAAAGCACTTCTTATTTAGGGAAAACAAGACGAAGGCGCACAATGCCACTTCATATCAAGGGTGGTGATGGAGCAGGGCCCACCCTGCACTAGATCCAGCCACATGTTCTAATTGGAAGCCTGTGCCCCACAGTAGCAGACGTTTCCCAGCTCTTCCAACCACATTCCCCACGAACTACTCTCTACCCTACAGGAAGGAGAACAGAAAGGACGGGAAGTGAGCTATTGGCTATCAGACCACTACGGCAGCTGCAACCTGGCTGAGGAGATCAGAAAGACCTACGTGATCACCATCCAGCTAGAAAATGCTTGGTAGAGCAGGAGCCACCGAGCTCCCTTTCACTGAGCTTCCTCCACTCTCCCCCCGAAATATCCTCTTCCTACCTCTCAGATTGCCACCCTTTCCCCATATGTGTCTGACAGCCTAAGTTTCCTGTGACTCAGCTCACAACATGACACTACCCCCGCCCTCCTTCTCAGCTACTTAAAAAGGCAAAGATTTTAACAAAGAGGCAGGTGGGAAAATATGCATCAATCCCAGCTGTAAGGATGAAGAAGCAAGCCAATGCTCCCATCACCCTTGCAATATCATGCATTACCACGATCCCTTCCCCTTCACTCACCATCTCACACACACACACACACACACACACACACACTCTGGGGAGGGGCTGCAGCCACTACCCCCTTGTTGCTCCCCAAAGGACCCACCAACCACCCCTGTCTTAGGCTCTGGCACACTGTCACTCCTACCCACATTTCCGATTTTAGGTACATCATCACAGCTGCTCTCAGTGAACAAGTTCATGTACACACACGTCTCCATCTCCTCCTGTCTGGGAGTAAAGCTCTCTAGGGATCCTTCTGCTCATCTGTGTGCCTTATAACTGACCCCCAGGGTCGCTGTTCCAAATGTACTATGCCCCCAAATAGTAAACATGTTCTCTTCCCTGCTCTCACCTTTTCTCCCAGCAAGTCACCTCTGGTAACCTTCCTGATGTTAAGAGATGTTGTCCCTATTCCATCGTCATGTCTCCAGTGCAGAAAAGGGCTTTCCAGGTCACCTTTGATGACCCCCAGACAGCCACCTGGTGGGCCTCCTTGAACCGAGGAATTCGCCTGCCGCAGCATGAAGGGGAATAAAAGAGTGAGGTGTGATTGGTGGGCTGCAGGTTTCCCAAGTGTGACTCAACTAATCCCCAAACCTAAATTATAGGCTGGTGTGCAGAGCCTTCACCACAAAGGCCCTTGGCAAATATTTAGACTGGTTTTAAATAATCAAAGAACTGTTTATAGGAAGGCATAATAATTATATATATGTTCTCAGGATGAGTGGATAGCTGCTAGATTTTCTTTCTTTTTTTAGATTAAGATATATAATACATATACAAAAGAGAAAATTAAAATATATGGTAGAACGCAGGGCTCAACAAACTTCTTCTGTAACTAGCTAGATAATAAATATTCTCATCTTTGGCGGGCCATACAATGCCATAACTGTTCCATTCTGCCACTGTAGTGGGAAAGCAGCTGTAGATGATAGGTAAGTGAATGGGTATGGCTGTTCTCCAGTAAGACTTCATTTACAAAAACAGTCAGCAGGCCAGATTTGGCCTGTGTGGCCATAGCTTTCCCATAGTGTCTTAGTCCATTTGTGATGCTATAAGAAAATACCACAGACTTGGTAATTTACAAATAATAGAAATTTATTTCTCACCATTCTGGAGGTTGGAAAGTCCAAGATCAAAGTACTGGCAGGTTGGGTCTGTATGGTGTGGGCCTGGTCTCTGCTTTCAAGATGGCGGCATGGACACTGTTTTCTCTGGAAGTGAGAAAAGCTGCATCTTCACATGACACAACAGGTAGAAGGGGTGAACTCATCCCCTGAAGCCCTTTTATAAGGCACTAATCTATTCATGAGAGCACAGCCCTCATGGCCTAATCACCTCCTAAAGGTTCCACCTCTTCATACTGTTGTACTGGGGATTAAGTTTCAACACAAACTTTGAAGGAAACAAAAACTTTCAAACCATAGCACATAGAGTTGAAAACTCATAAAGCAAATACGAAATCAATCACTAAGTCAAGAAAGAGAATATGGCAAGTACTCACAGGACTTAGACATAAGAATAGTAGAATTCCAGAGAAGGTTGGATGCTCAACTCCAGTAGGTTTGCTATGCCAAAGTCAGGATCCTAATTGGGAACGAATAGGAGCCTGATACTTGAAATAGGGATATCCGTGTTGATGCGCTAAAAAATTTTGCATTCTCAGATTGCTCTGAACCTCCTGGGTCTGCAGAAGTGGCCCATTCTTCCCTGTTAAAAGTCAGTGCTGCTTCCATGCTTGAAGATGTAAAGAAGATCCGGAGGCTTCTCCTTTAAAGAAAGCATGCACCCTTCTCAAGATCAATCCCTTCTTCCCCAATCCCAAGACCAGTAACTAGGGTCAAGGTACAATGTAATCTGGCCAGGCAAGTGCTGGGCGTCTTAAGGGAAGGAAAGAACCATAGGCAAAGGAACTGCAGGACCTTGGCAACAAATACTTGCCGGACAGTTCTGCAGATGGCCTTGGACCAACCCAGTTCTCTCCTCTTTCTTACTTGCGGTTCTCAAGAAAAACCATAGAATGTGCTGGGAACACAACAACGTGAGATAAGGAGAAACTGGCTGGAAAGGCCTGGGCTCTGTTCCAGTTCCCCCTGCCCCAGAAACAGGATGTCCTTCGTGTCTTATTCCAGTGAGTCACGTTGCCCTGGGGCATAAATCCCAGGATGTACTTTCTTTCATGGCCATTTGGCTGCAGTCCAAGTGGAGCATACACACAGCCAGACTCCAATCCAACCTCAGGCGGCTTTCCTGAGCCCTGGGGATTAGCTTCCAACAAAATCCAGGCTTCCATTGTCCCTTGCTGCCTATGAGTAAGAAATAAACCTTCTTCATGTAATTTATATGTGGGTGTTCTGTCTCACCAGATTCAGACAGTGCGGTAACTAGAGCACAGTCAACAGTGAACCTGCTTCATAGCACTGGCAGGAGCTGAAAGAGGAAACATGGGCTGGATCGCAAAGGTGCTCATCAAGGGCTGTGCAACAGAAGCCTGGGGAGGGCGAGTTTATTGATACAGGAGCACTCTGCTGTGACACAGGACTAACACCTGGGCAAGGCCCTTGGGAGACAAAGCTAATGTGCTGCTAGAGATGAAGCCTGGGGAAAGTGCCACTTACCCTGCATGAAGTGCAAATGCTGGAAGTGCTGTGGGAAATGGCAGACGAGGGGAACATAAGAACCAGAAGGAGATACACTAGAGGGGATGTGCTCTACAAGGCCAGAAAACTCATCAGCTGACTCTGCCTTGTGAGAGGACCTAGAGGAGGCCCCATCCTCCAAGGAGATAAGGAAAGTGCTGACGAGAGGGTCACCAGCATCACCGAGAAGCTCAGTGGGGCCCATCCTCTAAGGCCAGCCATGACCATAGGAAAAGCCACTCAGGATTGAGACCCAGAGCAGGAAATGGCAAGAGAGCAGATTTCAGCTTTGGCGTACACAGCCTTGTCACTTGGGCTACAAAGTCTGGAAGACCCTGCAGTATTAGAGAGATCTGTGATGGGGCAAAAACACCATGACGAGAATCTGTGCTTTGTTTCCCCACAATTCCACACTCTGTGGGTGGAGAGGTCTTAGGTCTCAGAGGGACAATGCAGAAAGACACAGAAAAAGTCCCACTAAACTTTAAGCTACAGCTGACCTGTTGCCCTTATTTGGGTGCCTTGTGCCAAGAGATTAGAAGGCAAGAAAAAGAGTCAGAATCCTGCTGGAGGTGACCAACCCTGATGATTAGGAGGAGGCGGGACTGCTGTTACATCATGGGGACACCGAAGATAAGCGAGACACTGAGCGACCAATTCAGGTGATCTTGGTACCCTCTTTCCCAGTCTTTTTTTTTTGAGACAGAGTCTCGACCTGTCGCCCAGGCTGGAGTGCAATGGGGCAATTTCAACTCACTGCAACCTCCACCTCCTAAATTCATGCGATTCTTCTGCCTCAGCCTCCCGAGTAGCTGGGATTACAGGTGCATGCCACAACACCCAGCTAATTTTTTGTATCTTTAGTAAAGACAGGATTTCACCATGTTGGCCAGGCTCGTCTTGAACTCCTGAGCTCATGATCTGCCTGCCTTGGCCTCCCAAAGTGCTGGGATTACAGCCGTGAGCCTCAGTGCCCAGCCTCTTTCCCAGTCTTAACAGTAAATGGACAAGTAAGTAAGCCGTGGCCTGAGAAGGACAGGGTGACTCGGGGCTTAGACCACACAGGGTTGAGGGCCTGGGTTACCTTCCAGCAAAGGAGCTAGCCACAGGTGCAGAGAATCTAAGCTGGAAAGTAGAGGGAGACGGTGGGTACCAGCTGTGGCCTGGAAACCAGCTGTAGCAGAAGGTGCCAAACCTCATCCCATTAACCTATCTCCTCTTCAGGAAAAGAGACCAGCCAGAAACCTGGAAGAGTAGCTCCAGACGGCATGGGCTTACTGCAGTGGAAGGGTGGCCTGCAGTGGACATGGTGCTGTGCCACCCATATGCCACTTCAGGACCAGCACACCCACTGCTCCGGCTGCCGGCTTACAGATGAGTCACTGTCTACAAACTGCCCTCAACCTAAGGAAGCTTCTTTCTCAAAGCTACATGCCTTCCCTGGGGTCAGCCTATCTCTAATGACTGGTCACCGTTGGAATATAAAGATCGGGACCTCCTAACTCAACTGGGACAACTGTGAAGGGGTGACTTCAGACCCAGATTTCCTGAGAGGACCAGCTGAAGCAACGGGTCACTTCAGACAGAGATTTCCTAACAGGACCAGTTGAAGCAGCACATCTGCTCCTTACCTCAAGGTCCTCTTACTGAGAATGCTCCTTATGAAACTTCTTGCCACAAATATCAGAGTCCGGAATCTTTTTCCAGAGGCACCCAATGTACGGAGATGCGTTCCTGGGTTCTCTATTCTGTTCTGTTGGTTTACTTATCTATCCTTGTACCGACATCATGCTGTCTTAGTCACTATAGATTTACTGTCATATCTGTTAGAGCATGTGCTCCTGCCTTATTCTTCTTCAAGTCACTTGGTGAGTCTTGGCTCTTTGTAGTTTTATTATATTTTTTTTAGAATCAGCTTCTCAGTTTCTACAAAAAGCCCCATTGGGATTTTGTGATTGATCTAATGGATCAGTTTGGAAAGAATGGGCCGTATTTTTAATACTGAGTCTTTTACCCAGTGAATTTGGTATCTTCATGTAGGTCTTCCTCAAGATATCTTAGCAAAGTTTTATCATTTTTACCATAAGGTAAAATGGTAGGAATGATAAATCTTTGCTAAGATATACTGTTGACAGAAACATACTTGATTTTTTTACACTGATTTTTATATCCATCAACTTTGCTAATGATTTACAGGTTATGTTGTGCATTTTCTCTTTCTTTCCTTTTTTTTTTTTCTTTTTTTTTTTTTTTGAGATAGGGTCTGGCTCTGTTGCCCAGGCTGAAGTGCAGTGGCACAATCTTGGCTCACTGCAACCTCTGCCTCCTGGGCTCAAGCAATTCTCGCACCTCAGCCTCCTCAGTAGCTGGGACTACAGGCCTGCACCACAAAGCCTGGCTAATTCTTTGGTATTTTTTGTAGTGATGGTGTTTCACCATGTTGTTCAGGCTGATCTCAAATTCCTGAGCTTAAGTGATCTGCCCTCCTCAGCCTCCCAAAGTGCTGGGACTACAGGAGTAAGCCACCATGCTAGGCCTTATTTGGCATTTTCTTTTCTTTTTTTTTTTTTTTTTGAGATGGAGCCTCACTCTGTCGCCCAAGCTGGAATGCAGTGGTGAGATCTCAGCTTACTGTAACCTCCGCCTCCCTGGTTCAAGCAATTCTCCTGTCTCCGCCTCCCGAATAGCTGGAATTACAGGCGTGCGCCAACACGCCCAACTAATTTTTGTATTTTTAGTAGAGACGGGGTTTCATGACGTTGGCCAGGCTGGTCTTGAACTCCTGACCTCAGGTGATCCACCCACCTTGGCCTCCCAGAGTGCTGGGATTACAGACGTATTTTCCATTTTCTACACATACAATGATAGCATCCAGAAATAATGACGGGTTTGTTTGTTTCCTGCAATTCATTTATTTATCTTTCTTGTCTTAATGAACTAGATAAGCTATCCAGTAAAACATTGAGTAGCACTGAAAAAGGCTGAAGGTAAATGGAGAATAGCATAAGATATACTAGATTTTGTAAGGCCTTGTTGGCCAGAATAATAGTTTTAAATTTGTTTTAAATAAACTTAGAAATTTTTGATAGCTTTCTATAGAGAAGTAATGAGTTCAGTATTTCTAAGACTTTTCCAGCTTCTGGGTGAATAATGAATTACAGGAGAATAAAGAGTGGGGGCCAATCTCATTCATGGACATAGACACAAAAAGCCTTTAAAAAATTGCGACAATGACCCAGAAAAGTATAATATATAAAAGGTTTTTCCCCCAATGAAAAAAGTAGCTTAAAGTTAAAGAAACTCTAAATGTAATTTTATATTACTATAAAAACCATGTAATCATCTCAAAAGAAGAATAAAAAGCAAATAAAATGCCTACCAAGAATGTGTGTGTATGAATTTGATATGGAAAGGCACCATCTCAATCTAATGAAAAGTTGCTATCAACACCTGTTACGGACAGCATTCTTAACAGCAAAATGTTAACCGTATTTCTTGTAAGATCTGACAAGACAATGTTGCCCACTATCACTGCTTCCATTTGTAGCTGTACTGGTCACCTTAGGGTAGCACACAGGAACAGAAGAAAAATAAATAAGACGTGTAAAGACCAAGAGGTGAAACAAGCCCATTATTATTTGCAGATGATACAATCTTTTACCTAGAAAGCCCCAAATAATTTAAAGACAGGAAATTAGACATGACAAGAGAATTTAGCAAGGTGACAACACATAAGATTAATATCTGAAAACCAGCAGCATTTCTTTACTCTAGCAACAATTAAAACTGTGTGTCCAATCTTGTAGCCACTAGCCAACGTGGCTATTAGGCACTGAAAATGTAACTAGTTCAAATTGAGATGAGCTGTAAGTGTAAAATATATATCAGTTATAAAATCTTGGTACAAAAAAAAAAAAGAAAACAAAATAGTTCATTAATAATACTGCTATAGGCCAGGCACAGTGACTCAAGCCTGTAATCCCAGCACTTTGGGAGGTAGAGGCAGATGGATCACCTGAGCCCAGGAGTTCAAGACCAGCCTGGGCAAAATTGCAAAGCCCCATCTCTACAAAATGATAATAATAACAATACTGATATAAATTACATGTTTAAATGATATTTTTGATATATTAGATTAAATTAAAATAGAAAATTTTGAATTATACCCATGGGGAACTTCCAGAAGAACAGAGAGAGGACCTTGACACATTCTCTCCCAAAAGAAGCAACTAAAAAATAAATAGCAAATTACTAAAAAGAATTACTTCAGAACTCTGGAAACCAACCAAAGGCGTACAACAAGCTGAAAAGCATTTATTCAAGAGAAACTAGTGAACCTTGGTAAGATCAACCAAG